CGCTGTATCCCGCCCAGCGGCCCCACCCCCTCGAGGGAACTTGGGGGCAGCGTTGTGCCCGCTTGACGCGGTTTGAACGTGAGGCGAAGTGACGTCATCGGCTCGACGGGTCAAGTTACTTCTCAGGGGCGGGGGCTGCCCCTCCATGACCGCCTGGCACCCCAGTGGACTCAAAATCCGAGGGCAGAAAAATAATTGGGCTTTCATGTTCTTTTTCAATCTAATTGGAGCTGGGTTATGAAAATGCCTTCATTAGGATCAAATAATCGCATCATGGCACCCTGGGGTGGAGCTGTGGCACCCTAGGTGCAGGCTGTATTGCTGTATCATGTGGCACTTGCAGGTGAGCAACCTGAACTAAAGCGTGTTCACTTTGTGAGAGATTTCAAGCAAGGCCTTTTGATGTGCCAACAAGGATCATAGGCCAGTGCCTGCCAAGTAGAAGTATAAGCCACTCTTTAATAAGGGAGGCCACTAAAGAGGACATCACTGACTGCTTGGGACAACTGAAAAAGGAAATGAGGACTGGAGCGAGGGGCAAAGGTTGATACCGACTGCCCCATTTAAAAGCATAGGCCCAGCCCACCAAGTCACTCATTGGCCTCCCTCAGGTGGGGAGGCCACAGGGAAAGAGGACAACAGAATTTGTGGAACAGAATGAAAAAAACAGGGATGGGAGTGCAGGTCAGAGGGTCAGAACAAGCATACCGAGTAGGGCCACTGAGCAAAGCGCACCGGACAATGCCCACTGGCCCTCAAACGAGCTCAAGGAGCCAGTGGACCAGGGGTGGGCAAAGTGCAGCCTGGGGGCCGGATGCAGCCCATCAGGCCATTCTATCCGGCCCACGGGGCCCCAAAAAAATTAGAAAATTAATATTAATCTGCCTTGGGCTGCCTGCCATGCGGCCCTCGATGGCTTGCCAAAACTCGGTAAGCGGCCCTCTACCCAAAATAATTGCCCAGCCCTGCAGTGGACACTGCCCAGTGATGCTCCCTCAGAGACATGAACAGATGAGGGACAGGAAAATGCCCCCACAGTTCACCAGGTGTTCTGCTACAGTTTCCTTTTTCCTTGTTAAGTAGGCTGCTAGCTTGGCTAGGGCCAGGAAAAGGTTGACCAGGAGGTCCTGGGACTTGCTTAGTGCATGCATGGGGAGTGGTTTAGCCAGAACCTGAGCAAGATGCTCTGGAAGAGGCAGTGAAAGGGCAGCAGCTGGCACACTCCAGGTAGGCATGCACCAGGGTATCCCTCTGCTTGCAGAAGGAGCAGGTATCAGGGGTGTCCGAGATTCATGTCACATACGCCATGGCGGTGGCTTCAAGATCGCTGGTGGCTTGTGGGATCAGGGAGGAATACAGGTTCATATACCTGGGACCCTTGTCAAGGGTGTTCCACCACTTCATGTCTGGGTGGGATGCAAGGATGGGTTGGAGGATGGAGACCGTGAGTGTGTAGAGCTGGCAGCAATGGACTGAACAAAAGTGGACAGGGTTGGTATTCACCAGGCTGCTGAGATAGAGTGGTAGGGAGTGCTCTGGGGCCTGCCTAGGCAGAGACTGTACAATGAGCTCCAGGTGGTGGAGGCAACTTGGGGAGCAGAGATTGACCTTGCACAGAACCTGGTTGATGTAAGTGAGGGCAGTGGGTGACAGAGAGGCCTTGACCTCCTGGATTAAGTGGCAGGGCACACAGTTTTGTGGTGGTGGGTTTTTTTAGGTCTTGGGGCAATGGTGGTAGTAGTTTCATAGTTGGTAGGGTTGGAAGGCACCTGAGCAGATCATCAAGTCTGCCCCCCTGCCATGGCAGGAAAGAGTACTCGGGTCAAACAACCCCAGCAAGGTGTTCATCCAGTCTCCTCTTAAAGACCCCCAGGGTAGGAGCCAACACCACTTCTCCTGGAAGTTGGTTCCAGATCCTAGCCGCCCTGACAGTGAAGTAGCGCCTCCTGATATGTAGCCTAAATCTACCCTCTGCCAGCTTGTGACCATTATTTCTTCTCACTCCTGGTAGTGCTCAGGGGAACAGGGACTCCCCCAATTCCTGCTGGTCCCCCCGACCAGTTTGTAAATGGCCCCTAGATCCCCCCTCAGCCTTCTCTTGTGAAAGCTGAACAAGTTCAGGTCCCTTAGCCTCTCCTCGTAGGGCCTGCCCTGTTGCCCCCTGATCATGCGAGTGGCCCTCCTTTGGACCCTCTTCATGTTGTCCACATCCCTCTTGAAGTGCAGCGCCCAGAACTGGATGCAATACTCCAACTGCGGCCTGACCAGTATTGCATAGAGGGGGAGGATCACCTTCTTGGACCTGCTTGAGATGCATCTGGATGCATGACAAGGTGTGGTTGGCCTTCCTGACCACATCCCTACACTGTCAGCCATGTTCATCTTGGCATCAATAATGACTCCAAGATCCTTTACTGCCTCTGCACTGAAGAGAAGGGAGTTCCCCAGCCTGTAGGTATGGTGCTGGTTCTTCCTCCCCAGGTGCAGTACCTTGCACTTGTCAGTGTTGAAACCCATCTTGTTCTCATCCGCCCACCCCTGTAACCTGTCTAGGTCTGATTGTAGCCTATTCCTCCCTTCCAGCATGCCCACTTCTCCCCACATCTTAGTGTCATCTGCGAATTTGAACAGAGTGCTTTTTACCCCATCGTCCAAGTCGCTGATGAAGATGTTGAACAGTGGGGGCCCGAGGACCAAGCCCTGCAGAACCCCACTGCCCACATCCCTCCAGGTGGAAAATGACCTGTCCACCACCACTCTCTGGGTGCAGTCCCCACAGCCGTTGTGTAATTTGTTTTATTTTAAGACACAACTCCCATTTTTATGTTTCCTTCACTGACAGAGGAACATTGCTGGGTATTAAACTTTTCTGCTAATTTGATCTTTTCTATTTTTAGGTGTCTACGTTTATAGTTGCAACATAATGGCTGTCTCTATAAAAGAATGCCTTGAGCTTCAGCTGTTGGAGATGGAAATGCTTTTTTCAATGTTTCCTAATAAAGGAGAAATAAACCTTCGGGACCAAAATGCTCTTACCTGCATACAGCTCTATTTGAAGAACACAAAGGAAGAGCTACCACCTCAAATTGACTGTTCCATTTCTGTTAACATAGATGAGCCAAAGGTGAGAATTTCCACTTACCTTTTGTGTTAGTTAACCATATATATTTCTTAAATTTTCACTGAAGTAGTTTAAAAAAGGATGTTTCATACATTTTGGTATAGTCAAATGCACTATTAAAAGTGTGCTCAGGGGTCTTGTTTCAGCCGGAAGTTATCAAAAAAACATGGCTTTACTGTTTGCACAAAGGTATTGATTATAGGGTGAAGGTAAACATTACACTTAGATGATAATAAATCTTTGGAATATTAAGCAGTGTTGAAGTTGGAACATGCTGTGAGCAGTCACAGGTTAAGGGTTAGTACCATTTCTTGCTTGCACAGCTCTGAGTTGTCACTAGCGGGCTGGTGAGCAGGGGCATGGCTATAAGCCTGGACACCTGGGTTGCATCTATGTTCAGGGGGGAGGAACAAATACATTTAGCAAAATAACCCACTGGGGTGGGGAGCAATAAGGGCAAGTTAGTGTCAAACTCACTTTTAGCATGGGTTACTGTATACTGAGAGGTGGACGTGCCAGCCTTGAGTTTTGTTGAGGTTATTATTGATATACACAAGGAATCAGATTTAAAAAATACTAACAGAGATTTATTGAGAAGACAGTAGGGAATATTAACACAGGTAAGGGACAACAACAGTAACAACAACTTAACAGATGTAAATAGAGAGAACAGACAGGTACAATTTATACTTTACCAATACTGGAGTATTAAACAGTAAGCAAAGTAGAGATCAATTTGATAACAGTTGAACTGAAGTCGAGGGGAAGCCAATGCAAGTCAGGTTGAAACCAGATGATCTGAGGAGACAAACGTGTGAGATTGGGCTTTAGTGCACTGTATCTCATTCCCTCCATGGGGTAAACTACCATATGCACTATGGCACCTCTCAGAATCCTCACACACACACCATGCATTTCCGCACACTCACACTCCATTACCGAAGTTCCAGATTTTTATATGCCACAACTGCCCTTAACAGCCAGTCCTCTGAGGCAAAGGTACTGTCACTCATTGTCAATCATGTCAAATCCAATCATATCATTCTTTCACAAGATACATTCCCCTGTCAATCATACCCTGTCCACAGGCATTCCCTCAGCTGTGCATGTCGAAATAGTAAATTGGGCCAGTAGGTCAGGAGTTCGTTCATTCTGGAGGCTCCCAGAGCATGGCAGTTCCATAAACCATCCTTACAACATAGATTAAGCCTATAAACATTGGAAAAAACTTTCTTCTCCAACACGGGAGAATTGGTCAATTGGGTCACTAACTGGCTGGAGGGTCACACCCAGAGTGGTGGTGGACAGGTCCTATTCGACCAGGAGGGATGTGGGCAGTGGGGTTCCGCAGGGCTCAGTCCTCGGGCCCACGCTGTTCAACATCTTCATCAGTAACTTGGACGAGGGGGTAAAAAGCACCCTGTTCAAATTTGCATACGACACTTAAGATGTGGGGGGAAGTGGGCATGCTAGAAGGGAGGAATAGGCTGCAATTGGACCTAGACAGGTTACAGGGGTGGGCGGATGAGAACAGGATGGGTTTCAATACTGACAAAAGCAAGGTGATGCACCTGGGGAGGAAGAACCAGCACCATACCTACAGGCTGGGGAACTCCCTTCTCATCAGTGCAGAGGCAGAAAAGGATCTTGGAGTCATTGTTGATGCCAAAATGTACATGGGCTGACAGTGTGGGGACGTGGTCAGGAAGGCCAACCATACCTTGTCATGCATCCACAGATGCATCTCAAGCAGGTCCAAGGAGGTGATCCTCCCCCTCTATGCGACACTGGTCAGGCCGCAGTTGGAGTACTACGTCCAGTTCTCGGCGCTTCACTTCAGGAGGGATGTGGACAACATGGAGAGCGTCCAGAGGAGAGCCTCTCGCATGCTCAGGGGGCAGCAGGGCAGACCCTA